GAAAATGCATGGCTAGGACTTTCCTAGGATGAAGTGTCTAACCCGAACCACTTGAGTCGTGTCACACTTATATCAGTTCGCTGGATTTCTTTCTTTCTCCTCTTTCTCTCGCGTACAAACGTTTGCAATACATTTCGGACAGGTTGAGAACTGCACCTGGTTTCCGCAGTTTTGCACAATGCGTCATGTATCGTGGACGAAATGTTATGGAATTCCATTAGACTTTCAGATCGCCGATTGTCCATGATGTTTTGTAATGAGGTGTGGGAAGAATGTCTGGGAACTGGGGACGCGTCGCCTATCTATTTATAGATATCGAAAGAAAAGAAACGAATCGGGGTTTCGATTGAAATTCGTTTCTTCGCGGTCCGGTGACCGCTACCGCGAGAGATTCGGTCGGCTGGCGAATTATTCGTCGGCGTTTTTCCTCTTATCTCGATCTTCGTTCATCTACATCTTTCTCGCTTTCCTACTCAGATCTTCCTACTGACCGATTCCACTTTCTGATCGTTTCCCTGATTCCAGCTTCACGGGCGTTCGCTGTACGCTTTACTTTATCGGAAAATATCTACCCACGGACCATAGAAAGTGGAGCATCAGAGGCGGAGAATTAGGACGCGTTTTCGTACGATCGCCAGACTTCCGTGCGCAACGGTTTAAAATGAAATATTTCCACCGTGTAAACCGCGTTACAAAGAACCCCAGGAAACGACGTTATCGCGATACTCGACGCGTTAGTCACATAATTCGCGTGGAACGCGAGCCGGACCCGTGTCCGATGAAAATTCCTGGGCCCGCGAAACGCGGGACCGACTCCGCGTGACTCGATAACGATTATCGATCGGCGATCGAGACCGTGTACGCCGGAGCCGTGTGGCGTTCCACGTTCGAGCTATTCCTAGGAATGGAGCCGACTCCGCGGCGCGGTGAAAGTGTGCGAAAACGGGCCCAGAAACGGTGTCGGGATAAGAATGCAGCGCGTAAAAGTACGTGTCGCTCGAACAATGACGATGGGAAACGGAACGAAAGAAAACGAGAAGAGAGAGGGGAGGCGAATCGAACGTCGCCGCGGCGGGACGTGCGGGCGCACACCGCGGGGCACGTCGAAAAAACGCACGGCGAGAAGCGCCGGCGGTGACGAGAGTTGCGAAAATTACCGTCGCAGAAAGAGAAAACCGAACATGTTTCCGATGGCGATTTATCCGAGTGAAACTGTGGATATCCGACTTATGGAACTGGATCGATGGGGAACGAGGGAACGTGTCACGGTTTGATCGATCGATCGATCGACGGCGAGCCGAGTAAACTTCCCGTTCGCACGTTTTACCCGTAGTCACGATTCCGGAGACGTAACGGGTTATTAACCACAGAATAAAACTCCCGCTCGGCGAATAATGAAAATTTATCGTTCGATTGAGCGGCCCGCGCTTGGCGCGAGATGCAAATTAATGGTTCCTCGAGTTGAAAATCTTTCTGCCCGATCGTGGAAATCGGCACTCGGAAGGTTCGATCGCCGGGTGAAAGCGAAAGATCACCGCTAATAAATAAAGATCTAAAAATCTCTCCAATGAATACGTATCCTGGGACTGCTGAGCCGATTCCAGTGTATTTCGCGTTAGATAGAAATAGCGAGGATTCGTTGTAAAACATCTGTTTCCTATATGTCCCATCCATTAAGTTACATTCGCAACAAAGTAGCAAAGAGAAGATCTTGATTCGAACAACTCGTAACGAAACATAACTCTATTTCGTTTCATCAACGAATTAAAACGTCGAACAGTAGTTGTCACGATTCTATTGCCTTTCATTATCTACTATTTCATTAACACGTTGAGCGCCGAGCCAATTTCCTTCTGTTTCTCGTTCAGATGGCAGAGAACAATTGCACGGTCCGAATGCAATTCGTTTGAGCTATGGTCCCTTGCTCGCAATGTTTTAATTGAACTTCATTAAAAGTACATTTATCGTTTAACCTTGACACTGCCTGCAACGCACCGATAACGCCCAAACGGAAAGTTTACTGTCGCGCTGAACGTGTCAACCCTCCCGTATTATCCAAGTTTCCAATTATCCGAGGCTGCCACGGTCCACGTTACCCCTGATAACCGAGACTCTGCTGTAAAAGAATAAGCTTTCGTCTCAGCCGAGGGATGCGGAGAGTGCTCGAGAGTATTCGGTTACGGTGCGTGGACATCGAAAGGGGAGCGACGGTAGGTGAGAAAATCGGTGACACACGAGCCAGCCTCCTCCGCTTCTCGAAGCGTGCTGGTTACTTCCGGTGGTCCGGTGATTCATTGGGCGCGAAAGATGTATCGGGGAGCGCAGCGTCGCGGCGCGTGCAAAATCGTGCGCTCGACCGTGTTCAGTGTCGGACGCGCGAGTCGAGCAACCGGTCGCGCCACGCTTTTGCTCCCGTTGCGAGGGAGGGAAGTCAGTTGCGCGAATAATCGAACGGATCGTCTTACCGGGCTGAGGAACACCGTTCGAAGCGGTGCCGCGTTTATGGTGGCCCGATATGTTCGTGAAGTACGTGGACGTGTTCGTGGACGAGGGCTACGACTCCGATTCGACGCTCGTAGGTACCATTTGGGTTGGTACCCAGAAGGATTGTTCTTCATGTTTAGTTGTGCTTCGTTTATAGCTTTGATTGGTAGTTTAACGGTAATCATTGTACGTTATATATAGTTTACGTATATTCACTTAATTTTGGCCCTGCTGCCAAGATATGTGACATGGTTTTACAACGTTTACATCGCACCTGTATTCCCATTCTATTTTATTTCAGATGTAGTTGTATTATATTATAATATAGTTTATATATACGTTTATCTATATAAGTATCTTCTAACGTTACAATACGTTGCTAGAAAGAAGGTACTTGGAAGGAACGCGGAATAATTGAGTAGAGTAGAAGGAGGCCTTTCGCATGCACTTTCGGCGGTAACATGCTATTTGTCAACGAACTGTCGCAACAGTTAACACCTTACCTTACGATTTCTGTCGCAACTATCCTCTTTCAAACTTCATTACCCGCTTGAAATTTAATTAGAAGAGAGCTGCGTGCATTGTGACTTTACGTTTACTGTAAAGATTGCATCTCCACGAGAGAAAGATTCAATCTAGCCTGCAAAGGAGAATATATTTCTTGAATTCACTTTGAAAACTTGAATCCTGCCCGATATTATAAAGCTAATCGAAAGCATAGTCGAAACAACGAAAGATTCCTCTACCCTTACCTCGTGCCAGGAGTTTATCTGGAACCGATCGTGTAAACGTAATTAAAAATTAGTGATCCGCCCGTGTCTATCCACCTTCGATCTATCCTCCTAGGGACGAGTTTAGGTCGTTAACGAGCCAGCTCGAGTCGTAGGGATTACCAATAAAGCCAGCCCCGTCTCTACCATTGAATCACCGATCAAATCTCAACGGCCGATCGACAAACTTCATTGAATCCACCGATCCGCCGGCGAGAAGAAGAAACGGCGCGCTCTCGTTACGAAAGCCGGCAGCGCGTGGGTGGCTCGCATTTTAATTGAAAACCTCGACGCGCACGTGGGAACGTCCGCCGTATCGGACAGTGTAAAAGAAAAAGGACTCCGGCATATTTACAACGGATCGCGTCGATATTTTGGTCGGTGTCTAATTCGACGTCACGCGAAATCGGACCGCGTCGTAATGGTCCCTTGGCACGGGAACAACCGACCAGCGAACGTAGGCGGTCGCGGTGCGCACGCTTCGCGGTAAACAGTAGTGAAATCCGAGCGCCAGATGCGAGAACCACTTTGCGCCTCGTCACAGGCGACCGGTGAATCAACCGCATTCGCAGTCGAGCGGCGTGAAGCGTGCTGCTCGAGTGTCGGATGGTTCAACGATGACTCGAGCCTAGGAATCTCGCGTAACTCTCGCCGACGACGATCGCCCCGCGGACTATTCCGCGCGAGAATTCCCATCGATGGTCTCGATCGCGTTACCGTGGCCAGTATCCGTCGTTCGCGGACCGCGAGCGGCGTTTCCCAATGATCTCTCTCCCCCTGCCGCGATCGCAATCGGCTCCGCATTACCGTAATCGCTGGCAAACTCTCCCCGAGGCTTGCGCAAAGCTCATTGATTTCGCGGCGGCGTTACCCGGCCGCGGAAACGTTGCCCCGCGATTCGATTCATCTGGAATCGATGAATGCGGGTAGGCGCTCGGTTGCGCTCGACGCGCGCCGATTGAACGTTGAGTTATTTTATTGGCCAGCAACATAAATACGTTCGCAACGGCTGCAACTAGGAGTGTTTCTGGTTCCGAGAAGTTAATTGCGATTTATCGCGATTCCGCGTAACCGGGACGAACGAGGAATCGGCTTTGGCCAATTGGAACCTGCCGGTGTTGCTTCGCGGAACTAATGATGGAGAAAAAATGTTGGATACGAGGTGCTCATTTGGTTATCGCGAAACTTAGCGCTAAAGATTGAATAGATTAAATTTTATGAGCGTTTATCAAAACGTTCGTATCGATTCGGATGCGCATTTTATGAAGCTCCGATTCCCGAGATCTACGCGAACGTTTATTCTACTAGAAACGCAATGAAATATACGATAGATGTCCGTAAATCTAGTGTTAATCGATTCCTTAATAACACGAATTTCCCAATTGCCTCAATTTTCATTTAACCTTTTACACTCGGCAGTTTTCCGCTAGAAGTATTTTAAGATTCAATGAGATAAAGACAATGTTTTGTGATATTCACTCGAAGAGAAATCGCACGTACATCGAGGAACAAAGTTCGTTTATCTCGCTATTTCTCAAATTGATGCATTATACGTAGTATAATATTAAATATCAAATGTTATAGTCTCACTGTATGAAATCAAGTGGTGAGAGTCACCTCTCGAGTGCAAAGGGTTAATACAATCGCTGTCAACTGAATGGTTGATAGGTCTGAACTTGTTTATATTACAACTCAGAACTGTAACGACGGTCTTGGTCTAACGAGAGAAATGTTTGTTAATTGCAGGTCCAGAGGCTGGCCGAATACGAGAGGTACCTGGGCCAGGAGGCGAGGAATCTCGTGGAGAACGGAAACGGAAGCGTCGGCAGCGGCGCTGTTCTCCAGCGCGGCCAGCTTGAAGGCGATCTCCATCGCATCCAAGAACTGTTCCCCGGCGATAATCTGCGACTGCACGAACGGGATGTCCTCACCACGGTACGTTCGAAAGTCCGCACCCGTGAACATGAAATTTTCATTCGGGAAATCTCGTTTTCCTGATCGCCGCGCGAAACAATCAGCGGTAATCGGCCGGCTTCCGGTGGAAACGCATCGACCGTGAGCGAGAAAAGTTTCCGCGATACGTTTCAACGATTCTCACGGAAACAATTTCCCTTGGCCGAGCGTGGAAAGTATAGTTATTAATACCGACGTGCCCGGAATCCGCGTTTCCCACGCGGCTCGTCGGACGCTACGCCCGTTGAAAACTGTCTCTCCGTTTTTTTCCGTTGCCTAGAAATTAACCGGAACGAAATTAACCAACGTTTATGGCCTCTGGCTCCAGCCGCATACGTTTGAATAACTTTAAGGAAGGAAAACGTGGGATACCAACGATTTTCTTCCATTTCCTTCCACTCAACGCGTTACGAACCAATGAGAATCTCTCGTTTCTCTCGACGACTAGCTGTACACCCTGTTTCCTTCCTGTTTCTCGATGCTCGCGTTACGCGAAACAAAGAATCGTTATTCATTGTTCGACGAGTGTTCCATGGTTTACTGGAGTTTCAAAATACTCGAAGGAATAAATGAACATTCCAAAGAGTGCAGCGAACTTGATCGAAAATTGACTGTACGTGCGCATACAGTTCTAGTTCGTCGTTTAAGTGTCTGCTCCACGGGCGAAGCACTCTTTGTTCCAATCACTCGTCGTCCTACGTGCGTCAGCCAGCGATTTGCATACTGGGCGTAAAGAGTATTGTCAAGAGCAGGGATCGCGGTCGATCGGAGGGATCGAGGCATGAGGTGGCGGCGCGAGGAAACGCGTGCTCGAGTTTCTCAATGCTCGCAGTCACAAAGCGACCGCGAAACGATGATTGAACGTTTCCTCGAACCGCGAGGAATCAGCGGTAACTCGATTTCTGCGGACTTCATTAGCATACGATAACGCAATGAGTCCGCGGTAGACGCGTCGCGTGTCTCTTTTACTACGCGTAACAGATGGCGGAATAGGAGTCGATTTCGTAAGGGGCAAAGAGCCACGGCGGCGGCCATAAGGGAAGAGAGGAGAGAGACAGGCTAATATACACGGCTCGCGTCAAAGCGACGTATGTTAATCAACCGCCGTCCCGTCGCTTGTAATTTCGTGTTTCATGGGTCCCTCGGGTCGCCTTGGCTATATTTGGTAGCGTTATTTGTCAACCGGCGAACCGTTCGGACGTCCCCTGCGTCGAGTTTGACGTCACCGGACGCCATGGGAAAAGAGATAAAGTCCGTGGATAATGTCCCGAAGCGGCGCATCAAGGGATCGGGGCCGGTAGACGTCTCGTTGAACTGCCGAGGCCCCTAATGGCGGTGAATTTTATCCAGTTTCCCTTCTAGTTCCACCCCGGGACGTCTGTCTGGCCTCTCGCGACCAGTTTCATTAAGCAACCGGTCATCGTCGGGCGCACGCGAAAATTTTCGAACGGGTTTGCGCGCGATGTTTCACCGTCGCCGCGGACGGGGCTCGCTCGGTGAAATAATGCTGTTAAGTCATCCGAAAGTTAATGCGGCTTGGCACGTTGGGGTCCGGTTATTAGCCGCCCGCTGCGAGGATGATAATAATTTATGTCCTAGATCCGAGCATCAAAATTGGTCGTTACTTTGTGACCCTCGAGCCATACGCTTGCCGGCAACCGGCTAGAGAGTCCGCGGTGCCGATAATTTAATGCTAATCTCGCGCCGGTGGATCACTGTACCCTGCACGGCGATAACCCCGTTTCGATTCCCGATAAATCGATTCGCCCGTGTGATATTACGCGCGACGCAATAAACCCCGGCCTCTCGGGGCAGGGGAAATCGTTCGACGAGACGCGACGCGTACGCTCTTTCGCCCGGTTGATCTCCACGGGAATGTAAGGCACGAGAGATTCATATTACCCCGCCGGTTCTTCGCTTATTATCGGTGGCAAGCGTCCCCTGCCGACGCATAAGCAGGAATTATTGTCGGAATTATTTATTCAATTAAATCGTCGCCCGTATTCGCGGCTTCCTCCGCGATTTCCCGTGTAATAATATAACGTTCCCGCGCGAGAACGTTTTCGATCGCGTGTCAATCTCGCTCTTCCTCATGAGCACGTCGTGATCCCCATCATCCAGCGTTTGAAATACGCTGGAAACGCTGATACCTACGCGTGTATATAGCAACGTAAAATGTGCATTTTAGAAAATGAAGAGCCTGATCCGCAAGAGGAGCGGCGGGAATCCCGGAAGGCTGACGAGAGTGCTCTCGCAGAAGTCGTTAAATGTGTCCAGCAACTCGCCAGCCCCGAAATCTCCGCCGAGGACATTCCTGTTGGAAACTCCGGTTCAGTTCACCACGGTAAGAGTTCGATCGTAAAATGTTGCTTTCATCTTTATGACACTTTTATGTAATACAGTTTAACCCTATTTGCTCTTGGCTCTTGGATCAGCCTTTAAAACAGGCTCTGCCAACTCACTTCCAACGTTGGAATTCAATTTCGCGCAATAATAATTCTGAACAAATGCATCCTAGCTTCCTAAATAACTAAACTAACTCCTTGCTTAACCCATTTTGCCTCAGTGTACTTGTTCGAGTGAGATATTTCTAATAAAACATTTTACTGGTAACGCATTCTTTAACGGGAGTGTACGTTCCGGTTGCATTCGTACAAGTACATGCATTTATTAAATAAATATTCAGCGATATTTCCACGAAGCTTAAATATATTATTCGTTGAAAATGCTTTTCAGCCTGAATGACTTGAATACACGTTACATTTCTATTCGCAGGGCGTTCAGTCTCAGGAAAGACACCTCTTCCTGTTCTCGGACCTGTTACTGATCGCGAAAGCTAGAAGCGGGGGTAACTTCAAGCTGAAGCAGTCCGTGAGGATGAGTGAGCTGTGGCTGACAGCCGGTCACATCGAGGACGTGGCCGAGACGAGCAAATCTCAGGAGACCAGCTTCGTCCTCGGCTGGCCCACCACAAACGTCGTCGCCACCTTCATGTAAGCGGCCTCCTAACACCTTCTAAGCCGTTGCATCGCGTCTCTTAACCACCTTAGCTCGTGTTCTATGGTTTCCCTCTATCGGCTTGCCAACGTGGCCGACGTCAGGCACGTCCCCGGAATCGGACACAACCGACGCTTAAGTAGTTTTATCATCCGGCATCAATGTTCGCTTGTTCGTTCGCAGGACCGCAGCAGCCAGGGATCTCTGGTGGGGACGTTTGACCGAGCTGGTACGGGAGGAGAGCATGAAGGAGCCGCCGGACACGAACATTCAAGTCGTGTATCACGACAGTGACACGAGCACGGAATGCGTAAGTGCAACCCTCTCCCCGCGACCGCGGAACAAGCGTAGACGGAGAAAGAGAGAAAGATGTGCGCGGTCACGCCTTCGCGGTCCATTCTTGGCACAACCCCGAGAAGCGTACGGTTCGATCCCGCTTGACCTTCCTGGAGGCATTCTTGGTCGCTCGATGATGCCCCTTTTATATCATTGACGTCAACGTCGAGTGGATCGCACCTTCTAAAAAGAGCTTTCTTCTATCTCGTCGGCTTTATCGGAGCGTGCTCCCTCGACAGGCCGTGTGTTCATTATCGACCCGGGTTACATTTAAATACAGCCGAAGCTCGGCTATCGTCGAGGGACCACGGTAGAGAGTGCCTCGCCGCGTTCAGCCGGAAGCTGACTCTGTCTCTCCGTTTACCGTTCTCTCGTAATAACACTGTAATCGCGAGCCATTATTCGTCGATTCCGCGAAATCTCTTACAATTGTGTCCTCTCCCGATGGCCCGTATTCACATCCGCGTTCCGTCGTCGTGTTACAGTGCAAGACGATAATGGTCGGGTCCGAAATGACGGCGGCAGCTTGCGTAAACCTGGCCACGAGATTGCTGGACCTGCAAGGACCGTTTCAGCTGTGGGCGAGGACGTCCGCGGACGAGGCGCCTTATCCTTTAATCGGCCACGAGAGACCGTTCGCCGTGAAGCTGTCCAATCTGAGACACACTCTGTCCGCGGAGGAGGGCTTCGACTTGGAACACTGCAACAAGAGCGGTCACGACACCTGCCACTTCATCCTGAGGCCAGTGCCCAAGTCGCCGGTCAAGAAGAACAAGTCCAAGATCACCGGACTGCTCAGGAGATCCCTGTCCTTGAATCCCAGCCTGTTCGGCGTGAACCTGTCCAGGCTGGACGAGAACGGTCTGCCGAAACCGGTGCTGGTGATGCTCCAGCAGCTGTTCGCCAAGGGTCCGTTCACGCAGGGGATCTTCCGGAAGTCCGCGAACGTGAGGATCGTTCGGGAATTGCGGGATCAGATCGAGTCGACCGGTGATCCGAGTTGTTTGGAGGATGCACCGATCATAGCGGTCGCGGCCCTGCTAAAAGACTTCTTGAGATCTTTGCCGGATCCTCTGTTGACCTCTCACCTCTTTCCCTTGTGGATGGACAGCCTCGACACACCAAATCCCATTCAAACTATTAAAAAGTAAGGGTCCCGTTTTTCCGTCGAATCTTCACTGGAATCCGATGGAGTAACTAGAGCTAACGGATGATTGTTTCTGTTGCAGTATTTTAGATAGATTGCCCAAAGCCAATTACACCCTACTGTCGCACCTGATCTGCGTGCTTCATCACGTAGCGCGGAGGTCGAAGCACAACCTGATGTGCGCCAGCAATCTCGGTGTCTGTTGCGGACCCAGCTTGCTCTGGTCGCCGAATCCCTCGGTGAACCAGAGCAGGGCCATTCCTACGCTGACCGAGATGCTGATACGTCACTGCGAGGTTCTGTTCGGCGAGGGAATCACGCAGCTCCTCGGAGAGGAGCGCAGCGACAGCGGAGCCGAGGAGAGCACCGATAGCCTTCACTGTGAGTACCTTACCTTATCCGTCGCCTAACGCGTCGGTCTCGTAAACGTCTTCATAGTCCACTGAGGAACCTCTCTCGTTGCAGCAGGTGGGCTTTCCCTGGACAGCCTGGACCTGACGGAACCGCCGCGAAAGGACCACATGTCTTTGTCGCGAGATTCGGGTTTGACCCTGTCGGATTGCCAGTTATTCATTCCAGAGTCACCAGTGGGCTCCGAGGATTCCGCGGTGAACGCGTCCTCGTCGAGCTTCGACAAACCTCTCGGCAAAGAGGACAAGTCCACGAGCAAGTCGTACATCCGCGTGTACGGCGGCTGGGAGGAGAGGATAAACGGTTACACGGCGAGCAGTCATCACTCGAGCACGACTGTGGAGCACGCCGGTTTCCGGGACGAGAAGAGTAACATCGGTTACCCGAACCCGAACTTCCAGAGGCAAGATTGGCTGAGGGCCCAGCTGAAGAGGACGCCGCGAACGAAGCTGGAGGAACACGAACACCGGAAAGAGAGGTTCGACGAGAAAGACATCTACAGCAGGGAGTTTCTCAGGCAGGATTCAATGAAGGAGAACGTGGAGAACTGCAAAGACATATATCGGAGCTCGCAGCTGGACGTGTCACGGGACCTCAGGTCGGAATACGAGCGCGCCTCGCAGCAGGACATCTGCACGGAGCGCGTTTCCATTCACAATTCGGAGCAGGACTTGACCGTGGACGCGTCGCTGCCCTGCGACAGATACGAGGAGTTCAAGAAGGAGCTGTTCAGCGAATTCAAGAAGGTCAAGTCGGAGGTGTACGTGAACAGGGAGTCGCCGGTCTCGCAGAACGGTAGCTACCACTCGAGCAGCGATCTGTACGAGTTCAAGAAGGTGAAGAGCGAGATCTACGTGAACAAGGAGAGCACGAGAACCGAGAGATACGAGTCCGAGAGCAGCATCTACGGGAACAGAGACAGAACAGAGATATACGGCTCGAGGGAACGGAACGATCTGTACTCGTTCAAGCAGGCCGAGGCGATCGATCTGTACGGCGACGAGGACGAGGAGGAGGAGAGAACGTGGCCGGACACGCCACCGCCGCTACCGCCGAGACTGAGGCATTTGCCACCAGTGCATATGAATTTAGAAGACAGGCACAAAGTGGCGGGCAGGTCAAGGTCTCTTCCGCCTCCGCCTCCTTACAGACCGCCCCCGCAGCCGCGCGCCTCGGTCACCGGTCGACACTTAGGTTACGGGAGGTCGGTCGTGGACGACGAAAGCTACGTTTGAGAGGAGGGACGGCCAGCAACAAACGCTGCGCCTCGAGACTGTTCCGCGTGTATCGCTTGCGCGCGATACTTTACCGAACCCGGGATTCTTGGAGTTAGCCCCGCGATCGTGCCTAGGCTGTCTAAAAATCCCGGTTCACGAAGCTGTCGGCAATAAAGCGGCTCGAAGGACACCCGCGCGGTGACCTCGAACGCTTCATTTGGACCGCGACAGAGGTCACGGATGCGCGTCGGCTCGCGTGGATGTGATCTTGTTACGACTGAAACTAGTCCAAAACTGGAACGCACGATATCGGGGACAATAGCGTTTATGTATATCTAATAACACATGGTCGTCACCGTCGAAAACGGAGGAAGCGCGCCGCGTCCGTCGTCTCGATCACACGCGAAACGAACAAATTTTATTGTTAGCAGGGAGGACGGGCGACGTGAAGCGTTCATGTTCGAACAGAGTCAAATTAGCGCGCCGTCGGTTTTTGGCGATTCTTAGCGATAGACTTGACTGTTACACAGTGATTCAGGGTGCTTCCACGAACCTTAACCGATAGGTTTTCTTTTTTCTCTTTTCCCTTCTTCTTCTTCTCCTTCCTTTCTTTTTAATTAGACGTTTATTATAAAGTTGTTATATTGTATAAGTATAGACTGTAGCGGACAAGACTTGCGTCGAGATGATATTATTCGTAACTCTTTTTCTTACGCGAACGAGAGTAGTTGTAAAAATATATATATATATATAAATACATATATATGTGTACATGCCGAGTGTTTAACGTCGCATGTCATCGCCGAAGGAACAAAGAAAGCAAAACGGTCTCCGCGGATGTTCGATCGAACGCTGCCCTGTAGAGTTTAGGAAATATTCTAAATGTTCGTTTCCATTCGTCGTAATTACCGTTCAAAAATATATAGCCGATACGCACATCATCGTCGAAATGTCTCGTGAGTTTGGTATCGTTCGCGAACTCGTTTCGGACGATCGGCGAATAGCAACTGGTCGCGTTTCACCGGATTCCCTTGTCACCTCTGTATATTCTCGTCTCGTTTCCCCAATTTTCACGGACTTCTGAGAAATTCGTTCAGCCGCGGAAATAAACGTGACCTTATTTCTCTCGATTTTCCCTTCGATTAATTATAATTATCATTTCCTCCCTCCCAAGCCCCGCTCCCGTTTGTTCTACTACTTCTTAAAACTTAGAACTTATAAATTGTAGAGTGCTTCGTACTGCGGATGCAAGCGCGATTATCTTAAGGCAATAAGATATACACCAGAATGTTGTCGAGAATCAGCGTTGCAATTGTTTAATCGCTAAAAAAACCGAGACAGAGAAAGAGAGAGTTTTCGTTCATTGTAAATACGAATAATTGTAATCTTTTATATCGCTAGAACGTATTACACGATACGCACGCCCTATGCAACGCCCGTAAGGTAATGTATACTTTATCTAAATTATACGACATGCTATGAAAGGTTAAATATATTTCGTATTTTATACAATCGTGTGTTCTTTCACGCTTTATAAATATTCATCTCTCGTATCCTACCGCTGCGAGCTGAATACCGATGAATCGGCCACGGAATATTCTTGAAAATCATCGAACGATCGTCACTTTTGTTTTCTTTTTTCTCTCTCCTCTTCTCCCGCTTCCGCCCGCGTACATACAATCCGAATGCTCGTTTCCTGTTCCGGTAAATTATTCTCGAACAAACGGTGTCGCAGGCCCGTTCGCCGCCAAGCATGCAACGTGAACCGATCTTGGACTACGAGGAGTTCGCTAGCCTCCAATTAGACAAACCGGTTACCGATCTAAGAGTACGTCCACATCCATTCGTCTCGTTTCCAGTAACCGATCGATCCGATAACCTAACCTAACATGCGTCCCTAGAACGAAGAGCAACTGAAAAAGCACAGTCTGGACATTAGTTTGGAAAAACGGCCTGTAGACAAAGCCAATTATCTTTTAACGTAAGTAATTAAAGCTAGAAAGGAAAAAGAGTCAGTGCTGCGGAACGATTCGTATGGGCGTCGATAAAACAGGTTCCTGTTACGCTGTACGAGTTCCTGTTGCACGGTCCCCGCAGGACATCGCAGCCGGTATCCTTGGTAGCTCGTAATAATAGTGATTTCGCGCAGACCGCCTCGACAAATCACCGAGCGGAACCTTGAATTAAACTACGTAATCCTCGCGCGATTATCGTATCAAGGTTGTCGGTGGATCAATTAATTTCATTCAAAGCTAAATAACGGTTACACGGCCCGTCAATACGTATCGTTGCGCGCATCTACGGAGGTCCTTATTCAGGGGCACGGTGCTGTCGAGAATAACCGCAAGAAAATTTATTTGCATAAAAAGACTGCAACCCATTTTGAACATTCAGAGTTAATTAGAATTTATTTTCGGTCGGTTCTGGGTTCATGAGAAATCGATTTAATTTATTAGTCCTTTGCGGACGAATGTCGACACATCGGCTACATGAAATTTTAACTCACTCGAGAGGCGTCTCTCGGTCGCCGTTTGATTGAACGCAAGAAAATTATAAAATGAAAAGTTCAATACAAAATATTGAATAACGTGTTAACACGAGAAACAGAAATAAAACAATTCTGCCCCATAATTTATGTAAGTCGCGAATAATGTTAATATTTCGTCGGAAAATAATGAAAAATATTGTCGAGTGCAAAGGGTTAATATTTGGAAGACCAAGTCGCGAGCAAGTGATGTAATTAGTAATCTTAATTAGTAATTAAACAGCGAGAGATCAGTACGTAGTTCGGTTTTTTCTATTAATTAAACAATTGATATATTATTTAGCGATCTGCTAAAGGTCTTGTATATTTCAAAAGAATCTCCGTCCGCAAAGGGTTAAAGATCAACTTCTCTCTAGTAAGGTGATCAATCGTAGCGCATTGTCCCTCTTACAAACGAGAAAATAAAATCACGCAGTAATTTCTCGACGAAAAACAAAGTATCTTTCTTTTTTTTAGAGATGTGTAATAAGCGATGCGCATCATCGCGAGGTGACTGCATCGGTTTGTCGATTACACAACACAACCGAGTCCTGATCGACGACGCATCGGTTCTATTGTATTACGCGGGGTTACGTGTGTATCCTATCCGAGAACGTACGTAGGACGCGTTCGGGTATTCCCGGGCAGGTTCGGTCGTGCACGCCGCCTCGTACGACAAGTCGGGATATAATCGATACCTTGGTGTCGGAGCCCAGTTTAGTTGTCATCCACGTCCCGTCGTGTTGTTTTTCTTGCGTCGAATGCGTCATGAGAGTGCGTACGCGTGTATCGTCGTGAACGTTGGAGAGTGAATCAGTTGCTGCGACGCGATCCACAGTGCTGTCGTTGAATAAGATGCGCCTCGAAAATGTTGCAAGAGGAAGATAAAGCTCCGTACGAGAGCGTGCCGGACCCGTGAGTAATCGGACAGTCAGTTTTTAGTTAGAAAACCGTGCGTGCCCCGGCAAATCGGCCAGTACTTTCTTCCTACTCGGCTGTCTCCCTTTCGTACGCACCCATGCACCGTTTCTAAAAATACCGCGGCGTCGTTCAAGGAGTATACTGTCCTGGCGTCCGACCGCCGCTAATTATAGTCCTTTAAAGACAGCCACTCGTAAGAAATGACATTCTACGTACGAGTAACTCGTAAGCAATGCACCGCACCGTCCTATTTAGGGAACGTACCTTGTCGGCCTGTAGGTTATTTCAAACTTTGACAGTACTGTTGTCGGCTCTCACCCTTTTCCTTCTGTTTTTCTTTGACCGCGAGGATACTTAATAATAGCAACGATTTGTTGGATGTTCGGGATTCCTAAAGATCGCGAGAACGCAACTGTGCACTCGTATGTAAACATTGGACCGATGCAACCTCTGCCGTCGCATGCTCTAAAAGGATGCGTTATGTAAAGATTCTTGTCCTTGGAGGTTGCATACATTTAAGGAAACTCGTGAAGAGGCGAGAAGATGGTTTCTGCGAAATTAATTATGCGACACGGTTCTTTTTAATTGAAGGAGGGAAGAGTAATTAAATGAAATGTAGTAATTGTCGTGGTTATTATTAGTTGGTTTAATTTGCTCACGTTTTCTTGATATTGTACATGATCTGGAGATTAAGGTGTATGGAGTATTTTACGTTTCTCACTGTTCCTGTGTGTGTGTGTGATCATTTCAGGAAAGGCGATGATTTTCAAAAACTCAGCGTCATACAAAACTTACCAAGTCTCTTACAAACAGACACGCAATCATGCATGTCCCGTGTGGTACCAAAAATGCAGCAGTCATTGGCTACTGCATCCACGGAGTTCCACATCGCGGCCTCATCCACGTTCAAAACGATATTAGAGCAGAAACTTGTCAGCCATAATGTCTTCAGTCAAACATTCCTCCCAAGTATATTAAATTCGCTCGAAAGTCGTGATCCAGGTAAACTAATTATGTTCATTCGTATATTAGAGTTGCTAGTTAATCCTGTATCGACAGTTTTATGCATTTGGTGTTACTCTACATAACTTAACATGTATATATACATTTAAAGTTGTTTGTGATGCATGGCTGGAGACCTTACTGGATGTGATAGAGTTACTGCCGGTAGAAGTCATAAGAACGCAGGTTTGTATAGATAATCATAGAAATTGATATTCAGATAACATTATGATTTAGAAGGGCAAATGTATTTCCGTTTGTGTCGCACACCTGTAACTTTATGACGTCATAGTAGATCAGTAATAAACTGGATTTATTTTTGTTAGTCCTGGCTAGACTAAGCATCAAGTACTCTCAAAACTTGTTTGTCCCAAAGAGTGGCTATGTATTTGACATAGCTTTGATAATATAATTGTTTAACAAAGCTCAAACCTAATTTAAGTCTGATAAGATAAGAATATCAACCGGATGATAATTGAAATAAAATCATACAGATTGTTCCATTGGCTATAAGCAAAGGACAATTGTCTCAGTCTATCTACTCCAGGGTAACATGCAGCAGGTTACTAGGAAAAATTTGTACAAGATTTGATTCTGCTATGTGAGTATTTAATCTTATTAATTGGGAGTTTCAATCTATGAACAGTATTTATCAATGAAAGAAAATTCTGTGATAAGCAAAAAGTATTAAAGATTACTTTTTTGATAAAATTATTGCGTAAATATACATATTAAAATTGTTATTAGGATACAAAAGGAAATTCTACCATCGGTACACTCCCTCTGTCAGGATGTAAATAGTGAAGTACGAGCTAGTATCTGCTTACAGCTACGTTTTGTTGCCGAAGGCCTTGGTGCTGAGTCTGTAAAACCTGCTTTGCTACCATCTCTCGTAGAATTAGCAAGCGACGAAGAAAGCAATGTAAGATGCACCTCTGTACAGACAATAGTGTACTTGCTACCTCATCTTCAGGAAGGTATGCTTGATGACTAGTTGTGCATTATTCATTAAGCATTCCAAGTTTCTAGTAGCTATATACTATATAATTAATTTGTAAACGCGATTCTATCACAGCGAAGATATGATTTATTGTAACGAACGTTTACAGATACAATAAAAACTATCATAGTACCACTTGTTAAAAAGTTATGCGAAAACGCGTTGAAATCAGAAGACAATGTGATATGCGTAATTGCTCAGGAGTTTGGAAAACTCGTGCTCGGCTTAGAAAGTAAGATATTTTCCTATATTCTGATTCAATCTCGTGTCCAGAATTCTATGATATCTATTCGAATATTTTAGAATGCCTCGTACCCGCGGAAAAAACGTGGTTCTTGAAATATTTTCAACAACTTGCACAAATGGGTATCGTCTCGATAAAAAAAGAATCGAAACCGCATCTTCCTTTTGTAAGTACAAGCGATTAGAGCCCAAGGAAGATACGTCGAGCTTAAAGAATAAGTTCAGTAAGCAAGTTACATTGTTCTAGATGAACACCAATCCTGCTGAAGATGAGAAACACATGGAATGCAGAAGATGCTGTGCTTTTAATCTGCCTGCAATGTTTCTCTTTGTATCAAATTCCTCGGACGATACAGACGCATTGCTTGTTACCTTTAATGCATTAGCGAGCGATCACTATTACATGGTTAGGAAAACTGTAGCAAGTGGAATTCATGAAGTAAGACGCAGCATCCTCTTCTACACACTGTCGTGTCGTGTGCTTCGTACATTTTATATTCAGCATTTGTAATTCAACGCGTAGGTGGCGAAAGTGTTGGGCCCAAAGAGTGGACGCATAAAGACAGATCTGATTAAACTGTTGAAAGATGATTCCGAAGAAGTGTTACAAGGTTTAGTTCCTCACATTGGATTAACGCTCGACTGCTTAGCGGAAAGTCAAACCATTGGGGTGGATAGGGTGGTTCGTATCTTTCTCTTTTTTCCTTTGCTATATGTCCTTTCTTCTGCATTATTTGAAGAGTAAAATTACTACTTGTTGAATACAGGATTCCACTCTTATGGAAATTGGCAGAGCGTTATTAAAATGCGAATCAGAAATATCAGCCACTCATAATTGGAGACTAGCATCGATGATGCATGCACAGCTCGAGATAATACCCAAATACTTTCCAAGTGATTTTATATATTCTTACTTTGTGCCAATGGCGTTCTTCAGGATATTGCATGCTGTATGTTCGAGAAACAATCATTGAATGTTCGTTTTTTTTTTCTAATAACGATCCGAACCTATCTAATAATTGCGACCTTCATAAATTCTAGAGGCCAATACCCGTGCGTCTTGCCGCAGGAACGTTGTATCTGTTTCTTTTACGTTATAACATGAAACCGATGCAAAGGATCGAACTACGAAGCAGACTGTACACAGAATTGGCGAATAGTCCCGACTGTTATGTTAGAATGATGTTCGTTCGTATGATGATAGAGGCCTTGGAAATTTTCTCGTCGGTGTACTTCAAGGAGCATTTTTTCACTGTTTTGCTGAACTTGGCAGAGGATCCCGTCGCCAATATAAGAATTAAAGTAGTTTCCCTCTTGCCCCAACTGAAGAGTCAGCTATGGATACCAACGGATAAGAAGCTATTGTCAGCAATGGAAACGACTGTGGGGCATTTAATGAACAGCGAGAAGGACAGAGACGTGATTGCAATACTGACAACTGTTGTGCGGAAATTGAACGACATAGAATTGAAATACGAAAGCCAAACTGTAAGTGATGTCAAGTGGAAATAATCTTTTTTTCTTAGTTCGACTAGTCCAATGTATACATAATCTGTTGTAGACAACGGCGAAACACTCGAAGCAGGATATAGAAGACGCGAAAAAATTGGAAGAAGAAAAAAGATTATCGGAAATGGTACCTGGAAAATCTCCCGCTGGCGGTGCCACTATGAAGAAAGGTTGGAATTATGGCGAGAGCTTTATGAAAGTATCGGAAAAGATTACTTATCGTACTGTATTTTCAGGTGCATGGCGACGGCCAGGCGACAACGCAAAGCCAACGTAAATATTTCTGATTGTGTATACTTGAGAAGTATTTGTTTATGCAAATTTCTTTCGCTAATTCACACGTTTTACTCTTTTCAGGTCTCAAACGCCACAGAAAGGTGAGCGACGGTGCCATTGTTTGATTCTACAGTTAATACCGCCCATTTTAGCAATTAAGGTATATGATTTTCTTTCCTCTTTGTTTCTTCTTTGTTTAAAGGTCCAGGATCTCCTCGTCATACCAGTGAATCTTCAAGAATGAGGTATGCAAAGTTTTTATTTCACTCTCGGTATTCGTCTATAATTCTAACATATAACTTCTCGATTTGAAACGTTAACCGTTGTAAGATCGCCCTAAATTTCGAGTTAATCGTGCGTTCCGAGTAATTTCGATATTCGGCCAAAGCATGTCTAAACGATTTCAGATCTACGCCAAGTTGTAAAATCGAATTATTAACTGTTTCCCTAGTCCACTAACAACTTCCAGCGAGAGACTAACATCAAGTTCCGCACGCTTTACACCTAACAGACCTCAGCTAACTTACCCTTGGGAAAGATTAGGGCATAGCAACACGAACCTTGTCGGCACGGGGCACAGTAGCTTCGACAACGGGCCATGCGCCGATTATCTGATGCAAAAGATGCAGCAGAATCGCTCGAAGTTGGCCTCGTTGCCGTTTATAGTATGGCCGGACTCGTGCGAGTGCGACTACGAGGAGGAGAACAATCTCCACTCTTGTCCCTCGTCCGATTACGCGAAGTCCGTCTTCTTGGCGATCATGCGGGAGAACCGGCGGAAGTCCCAGCAGAATTTGCTGCTGACGCGAGACTATGCACGCGAGTTCTCGACTAACATCGCCAGCAAGGACACTGCCACAGCGAGGACACTCGCCAGTGCTCCGAACCTGGCTGTCCTCCGAGCACTGACCAAAGCGGCTCATTATAACTCTTGTTGGCCCTGCAGCTCGATGCCGGAGATACCGGTGATGCTGTCCGACGACGAGTTCCTGGTGGACGCCGGCATCAGGATACCTGCACAATTCTCTGCCAGCCAGGGTGCCTCGAAAATACCGCATCTTCAAGACTTCTTCGCGAAGAGAAGACGCTCCTTCAATTTCGAACGTTCGCGAAGCATGACCATGACTATGAGTTTCGACAAGGGCAGGCCTAAACGGAATTCCTCCGTGGAATATGAGGATTGCATGAAAAGAAGAACCAACGGGGATCAGTCGAGCAATTCCAGGACGTCTATAGACTGCGAGGAAGGTTTGAGACTGGTGAAAGAGAGCCAACAGATCACCAAAAAGGATACGGTCTACGTTGGTTCTTTGATGAGGTCCAGGTTTGGGTTCGGTGTCAATCAAGAGAGGTCTGGGTCTCTGGATGAGAAAATGAAGCGGAACTCTTTGATATTAGACAAGGATAAGCCTAAAGTTCTACAGTCTAAGTGTAGTTTGGATCGGATTAAACGACACTCGGCAAGCTTCGAGAAGGGGAAACCTAAGAGGAATTCTTCCGTGGATTTCGAGGACAGTATGAAGCGCAGCACGAACGGAGCCAATCAGTCTAAAGATCTGAGGACGAGCTCCATCGATTACGAAGATGGCTTGAGGTTGGTAAAGACCGATGAACAATTGGACAAGAAGGACTCGGTGTACCTTGGATCCTCCATTAGGGCTACATTCGGTTTTGTAAATCGTGAGAGGCCTATAGACGACAAGATGAAACGGAACTCTTTGATATTGGATAAGGAGAAACCAAAGCTCGTGCACGCTAAATGCACGCTAGACAGGACTAAGAGACACTCGGCGAGCTTCGAGAAAGGGAAACCTAAGAGAAATTTGTCTGCGGACTACGAAGACAGTATGAAGCGGAGAACCAATGGGGCCAGTCCGTCCAAGGACCTGAGAACAACCTCCATTGATTACGAAGATGGTTTAAGATTGGTAAAGGACGATCAGCAATTGGACCAGGATGAATTGGTGTACCTTGGGCCTTTAATTAGGTCTAGATTCGGTTTTGTCAATCAAGAAAGGCCTATGGACGACGAGATGAAACGGAACTCATCGATATTGGATAAGGAGAAACCAAAGCTCGTACACACCAAGTGCACGCTGGATAGGACTAAAAGGCACTCGGCAAATTTCAGCTTAAAGCCGACAGACTCTAAAGAGCCCAAGCCGAACTTGAAATGCCACAGCTTGGAGATGTCCGATTATGCGCCGAGCGAACGTCTAGGTAGGGCTCTAAGACGGTATTCAACTTTGGACGTGAACCATAATCAGGGACTCAGCAAAATACCGTTGAGAAGTTTTGTACCTCGTAGTAGAACCGCACCAGCCACCAGGGCGTCCAGCCCTGTGCACATAGAGAAATTGTGTCGAATGCCGTTCTGGGAATCTTAATAGCCAATTCTAGGTCTAGTCTCGAATAGCTGTAAAACAGAGCTAGTTTTTAGCCTTCGAGTTATAAAGGCATTTCTTTTTCTTTTTTCCCTTCAATCCTCTCGATGCATTTTGTACTTTGCTTTTCGTACGATCGTTGTACCTATTTTTTTTTCTTCTTCTTTAAGTTAATCCATTGAACAAGAGACAGTGGGAGACTCTCGTTTGTTAGAATCTCTCGTCGAAGATTTTATCGTTTTTAATTATAGATGATTAACGAAACTCGAAACTTTAAAAAAAAAGAGAGAGAGAGGGGGAGAGAGATCAGCCTAGCAACGCTTCTCGTTAGGACGCGTGCAATATTTAAGCGTTTTTAATTTAATCCGGAAGCGTGTAGGAGTTTCACCTTTACACGGTTCGAAGGGATCCGATGTAGCTGTTACGCGCTAGCTGTACTCGTAAGTTTTAATCGGTATCGATCGCACGACCATCGACGCGTCGGTGGTATTCCGTTTTCACTCGACGAACCAGCGAACTCCGCCGGAAACGAAGAACATGTTTTTGGAGCATAACTTTTAGGGATTCTCGAATTCCCGAATTCCCTCGTGAAAAGAAAATTTAAAAAAAACATATATATATAAGTATATATATACATAGAAACCATAGAACGATTCACGCTCTTCCTTGCTGCCGCGGATCGGAGTATTGTTGTGTCTTAAATAAGAGATATCCATGGAATATCATACGATCTTAAAGATAATATATGTATATGTATAGAAAGAGACTGACCAAGACGATTCAAAAGTGTCTATGCAGGTCGTATCGTGAACAGGGAGAAAAGATCTTTAGGTAACGAGATATCAATGCAACGGATGGAGCAAACACAATTATCTCCGCGCGAATATTTTCATTGAGCTTCTAGAGATATATTTTCGAGCGAAGGAACGGAGAAAATACAACAAAAAAAAAGAAAGAGAGAGAAAGAGAAGGAGAACTATGGCGAAAGGAAGAAAGAGGACAGATGTAAGACGCTTCGAAGCCAAAGATAATTTGATTTCTAACTGTAACGAGGTTCAGGTGAACGTACAAAGTCCTAAAGGCATTATGTACTTGCGTGTACCATGTACATTAATACCGTGTAAGCTTTACAGTGCAAGTGCCATTGAAACAGAACACACATACAACACACACAAGGAGGATTTCCAACGAAGCCACGGAGAACGGAGAACGGTCCAGAATATCGCGAATATTTTTACGGTATTTAATATCGTAGGCCTCGGCTGTCCGGGCAAAAGAAACTTAGAGTAGTCCGTAGATCTTCGATATCGTTCAGGAAAACGAACACGTCGAGCGATCGAGCGGTTCGCTGGACGCGCTCGATGACGTCTCGCGCGTTCACTCACTTCCGTTCGTTCTTTCGTAAGCGGATTAGGTCGTGCCACGAACAATGTCGTTTCTATTCCGCTCGTGGTACACGGGACAATTCAGCAAAGATTCTTCGAGGAAAGCGGCCGAAAACGATTGGGAAGAGAGATTGTCGAGCCGATCACGATTCACGTTATACTTTATGCTCGAAACTCGTCTCGCAAAGCGACATTATTCACGAAGCAACCTGATGATCATTCTTGAACCTTTTTAACGATCGTCGATCGATTAGACTTCGGAAAGCTATAGATGCAATAGACTCTTTTATCAGTTGAATCTTATCGAACAAGAGAGATCCCTTTCTTGCACAAGCTGCTGAGCATCGGGTCGCTCCCATTTGTATTTGAATGTCATGGCGCCGTTGCGTTCGCTAGTTCGCCTAATTAACCAATGATTTTCCACATAATTCGAGTCGGGAAAAGCGTCGTTGAACGTCGGCCTAAAAGGTACACCACGATAAGCACAGTGATATTTCGAATAATAATACTATGGTGTCTGAACGCAAGTGGGAGCAACGATAGATGATACATTACGCTTAGATAGTAGAGGAGAGCGAGCTCCGATTCAACGATCAATCGTTGCCACGTAACGACGTTAATTATTCCGTTGTAACGCGGGCTCGCGCGGCTACCGATTTACGTAACATAGGCGGAAAGCTTCTTCTGTTATTTTTATAGGAGATTTTAGGGCGGCGTCGGCCGTACGATTCCGCGGGCAACGAGGAGACTTCGGTCGCCTAAAAAGAAAATCGGAACGACGAATTCGTTTCCGCGCGATCGTACGATCGTCGTTACCGTCGCGCGAAGAAACTTAATTTTTTATAGAGAATCTTAGAGTATATTATACATATATATTAAAAAAAAA